TTTGTCGTTGTCCACTAATCTGGAGTACATTTACGATGATAGAACAAATGGACATAATTACAATAACGGACGCGTAGTAGGCATATTCAACATCCTACCAAATTATAGCACAATCAGAGAGCAAATGATCGAACGACACCGAAAAACTGCACTTAAAGTCATGGCAAAACATTAACAGTCTACTATGGTTACAAAAAGTGTACGAGGAAAAGAAAAACAAGTAGAAAAAATAAGAAAATATTGAAGCAACCCCGGTTATAGCAATGAGAGACGCCGTTTTCGCGCATATCGATTGGAGCGCGCTTCTCTCCTTAAACAACGGGGCTGTTGAGGCTATTTTTGCCTCTAGCAATGGGGAGAGGAGGAGGTTTGGGACCAAATTTTCAGTATATACTAATGTTTAGGCGTAGAGTAGATTTATGTAAAAATTTTGGAAAAATTATGTGAATTGAGAGTTTTGCCAAGCTCAGCTTGTCATTAGCTTGTCAAATGACAAGCTAATTTGGAAATAAGTTGGGGAAACTCTTCATTCACATAAGTTTTTCATAATTTTTCATACTTTGTTACTTAGTCCTACTGCGCATATACACACCGAATCCCGCGCGATTTCGTCGCCTCTGCGTTGCAAACGAGCCATTTTTCCATTTCTTTAGTAGCGGGAAATTTTCAGAAAAAACTTTGCCACAACCTTCAGTCACATAACTTTTCAATGAAACTCCTAAGTTAGCTCCTACAGGCTTGTGTCCACGTGCGTACCAAGTTTCATACCATATCGTCATCTGCGCGTTGCAAACGAGCCATTTGAATTTACAACTTCATTTACCAATTTTGCAAAATCTTTGGAAAAAATGCTATTACTCGTCCAGTTCACATAAGTTTTTCATAATTTTTCATACTTTGTTTCCACTAGCCTCTCTCCGTTCGCCTACAAAATCTGGTGTCATACCGTGACGCGTACATTGAGAACTAGTCATGTATGCCGTTACAAATAGCTCGTTCGAGCGACGTCGCGCGTGCGGCAATTAGCGACGGCGCGGTTTGACGCGCGCGAACTCCAGTCTTCGCATGTTGAGGCACATAACATGTTAAAATAAGCAGAGAACGTGCACTACCGATTTTTTTACCGGGGCTCCGCCCCGGACCCCGCAAAAACGATTTCCCCTTTGCTTTTTTTGCCGAAAACGATTTCCAGCTTGTCATTTGACAAGCTCGTGCCGGGCCCTGTTTGGTGTGTTCTAAAAACCAACAAATTCGGGAACGGCTATTAGGACATATAAGTTTCTGAAACTTTTTACATAACATGGTTTAAAATAATATTGTATAAACACAGCCCAAATTCGGAGCCATGTGGTTGTTTCTGCGCTGTAAACAAGCAATTTGTTTGTTTGAGTCTTGGGTTTGAAATTCGCGTGCTTGTGAAAGAACACATTCAACTCGTAAAACCTGACATATTATCGCTTTTCTTCTTTGGCGCTTCCTCCAGGACCCCATAAAAACGATATTCCCGTTGCTTCTAACGTCAAAAACGAAGTCCAGTTTGACCCTAGACCATCTGTGCCGGGCCCCGACAAGAGTGAATAAAGATGAAGAACGGGCGATGAAGCTGTTTGAGTGAGTCAGAAAAGATTCAGCGCTCCGTCAATTTTCGAAATTTCTTCCGGTTGAGTGTAATATACAATTTCTTATTGTGCTAATAACGAATGTTCCTAAAATACTCGTTGCTAATAGCCGCAATTCTAAAGAACAGAAAGCGTTTTTGCAATCGCGATTATGACTAGGGTAGCAGTTGTCCGTACCAATGACATCAGAAGCGATGGTCATTCTTTTTTGGTTGATCTCAAAGTTCCTCTGTCCTCTAGGTTCTACTGTTGTTCTTTCTTTCGTTACTCAACATTATAAACTTGCAAAAATCTGTGTTTTAAAGTTATGATCCTTTGCAACAAAGAAATTTGAATGCAGAAATTTCGTTATAATTAATCGAATTTCAAGACATGAAATTCATCTGTGCTGTTTACATTAAAGCGATTAACAAGCAGCTGAATGCATCGTTATCCTGAAAACTTGCAATAATCTTCTCTTATACTATAAACTCGAAACCGAAAAAAATTGGCTGCTAGATTGGTTCGCTTCCATGTATGGCTATAACGTTGTATTACATATATGCCAGTTGTGGAATTTCCCCAAAATTTTGAGGCAAGAGGGATGGTCATGATGACGACGAGAGGGAGCAGAGGCCGAGAGCGCGAGGTTGACGTCAGGAAAATTATAATTGCTGTGTGAAAAATGTGCACCCGCGCGCCAAATGTATTAAAATATGCGAGAGGTAATCACGACAAAAGTTTTCTTGTCTTTGACTGTTTTACGATGTACACGCACGTTAAAAGCTCATTAAACTTCTACTCTGGAACACTGTCGCCGGAATTCTTGCTTCTTTACCTGTATAACTCTTTGAATTCACTTCACTCGTGAGGAGCGCATACATTTCAATCACGCAACTTTCGAAAAAAAAAGCAATGTTAGTTCCGCTCAACACATTCATTTCTCACAATGTACGCTGTATAACTTTTGTGTGCAAAGGTCGACCTGGACATCACATAAAACGAATGGTTTGAGTACGCATGCACAGTTTAAGAAAATCTCTTTGAAAATTATAGAGTGAGCATTTTTTAAGAAAGCACTATCCGTTTCTTTTTGGTCGGGCAAAATTTGAGAAATTCGATGAAACTTACTTAGAGCGCAATCGCTTTGCAAAAAATTCTTTTTTTCAAAAAGGTAAGCGTTTGGGCAGACATGGTCTTGTAAGGTGGAGGCAAGGGGGAGACGTACAGCGTTACGCAGAACAAAACGCTTTTGATCAAAGTATTATCCGTTTTTGGGCAAACTTAAGAAAATAGCCAAAATCGCTTTTGAGAGCAGCTGCTAGGCATACATAGGCTGATGACGTGGAGACTCAATTTAAAAATTTGTATGGGTTCAAAATAGTTATCTATGGATCGCCCCAACTCGCTTTCTAGAGACTCGTAGGATTTTAGAGTAGAGTGCTATGCTTTGAAATGCTTTTAAATATAACACTTTCCAGAAATAGTGTTTTTCTGTGCTCACACTCTGATCAACCTGTACCAAAGCATCAAGATTAAGTTTTCTAGAGAGATGCGTGCTTGATGCTCGAAAAAAAATTTGAAAAAAAAGTTTGAGTTTTCTGATCAAACCCCAACCTGCTTAGAGTTAGCACCATCTTTAACCTTAAAAACCGGCTTCTTACAGGAGGTAGGGTAAGTGGGCATCCCGATTAATAATATATTTGCTGTCAAAATTACCGAATATCCTTTATCGAAAACATCAGTCATTTGCAAACTGTAAAGCGCTGGGAACTGGTATGGAATAAAGCTGGTTCAAAGAGGTGGGGGGAGGAGGGGGGGGGGGGTAAGAAAACATGCTGTTTAAAGATTTTTGTTTCCATTATTGTTGTTTTCTTCTACTGATTTCTGCAAGCTCTGGCGCTGGAACTTGGTACAGGAGTGACTGGGTACTCTCAATAAAATTACCCATTCGATAATGCAATTATTAATTTTTCGCAGAATTGTGGGGTGATGGGAGTTGATTAAAAAAGTGACGGGGGAAGAGTGAGCATGGTGATTCCAAACACGTGTAGGGACAGAATTGACATATAGAAGTGGGGAGCGATAGAAGAACCAGGCGATGCCGGGTATGCCAGCTAATCTCTAGCATGAAACTTTTATTGTGGTTTTGAAATGTGTGGGTGAACAAGATGATCGTAATCTTTCGACTTAAAGAACTATGCAGTAGCATATATACACTTGAGAAGATTTGAATTTCGTAAGCAACGAAAATGATTGTCCGACTGTATGTAAGGCGCTTGAGCTATTAGAAAAATCTGTATTATTAGCAATGTCACGTGTTGTTGACAATTCTGAAAACTGTAAAGTGGTGTTAACATATCAGTGACACGGCGCAAAATACGCGATTTGAACTGATTGTGAGATAAGAAATAAAAGAAACTTTTTAAGGTGGTGGAGTGAGGAGCAAAGTAACGAGGTGATAGAAGCTATACTAGATTGAGTTAAAAGTAATGAGAATACGTGCTCCATTTTCCATCCATCCAGTAAAGCAGATGGTAATTATAGAGAAGTACTCTGAAAAGTATTAAGCGTAGTTTTTTTCACTCTTTTTAGCATTTATGTTACTTAGCTATTATTTATCATAACTGCTGAAAAGTTCCCAAAATCTCATACACTCGTTCCTGTCTTCTGCAGCTTTAGCTAATCGTCAAAATTTTTGTTTCATAGCTGGATTTGGTAAAAATCTAGTCGTTTCCTTTCTTCGACTAGTCAGGGGTCACATCAATTCAAAAACACTCAATTATAGATTTGCATGAAATAAAAATGCATCAAACTCTAGAAATTTCTCAAGACTCAAAATTGAAACCCGATTATCATTATAGTTTGATTTTGGACTTTTTTCAAGCCTGTCGAATTTGAAGGTGAAAGGATTTGTGTGCGAGCGTCTGCTGTTATTTAGCAATTTTTGCGAAGGTTCAGACACAAATTACAGTAACGGAAAGAGAAAAAACAGATGCACTGTTTAAGACACTTGTTAATCAGTATTATATCTAATCTGATGATAGTTCCACCAAGAGGAGTAAAGTTCTCATTTTTCAAAAATTACCCTGGCATATGTTAAGCTAAAGAAAAGAACCAAATCCGTATCTCTATCACACATCAGAGCGCGTGTTATCTAAATCACACCCTTCTAAAGACTAAGACAATACACAATGCTAAAGGTCAAACACACAATGACGCACAACCTTTTTGGCGATTAGCTGATGACAAATGGAAAATTTGTACAAAAGTCCCAGTAATCTATCCGAATTACTTTCTTATCAAATATGCGATGAAAAGGAGTGTCTGTTCTTTAAACCTTAACAATAGCATAAAAGACACCTTTGAAGCATTATCTCCCGCACATCCAAGCATCAGGTAATGGTGAGTATTTTCCTGATTTTACATCTTTGCAAGACGACTCTTTTTGAAGATGATCGTACCCTACATCGTACTGGCAGCTGCGGGTGCCATGGCTGTCAAGGCCACCCCGTTTGGTAAGTATCTACAAGTGCGGAAATGTCATGCAAATAAGGCCATTGAGCTGCATACTGAAACTACTGCGAATTTCGTGTGCAGAAAATCACTATGAATAGCACTTATTTAAGTTTTGCAAGCTTTTTTTTCTCAGCCATGTTCGTACTCCCAATTTTACAGATGAACAAAACGAACAAGAGATGGAAGATTATTTGAACAGTGGTCAACCATTGTTCGAGGTGGATTGCTTTGACGCAATAGTTACGTAAATTTCGACCCGCTTTAGGCGGAAATTGGATTGGCGGGCGTCCGCCTCGCAACAGCTCGCGCCGTTTCGCAGCTACGGTATAGGGTGTCCCAAAAATGTGAACACTGTTTGATTGTTAGTAACTTCCTTGCTTTTATGTCTTTCGCCGAGCTTGAGGCCTTATTCTATAGAGCGAGGTTCATCTTAGATCTGCAGTATAGAGCGAAACGTTGATCACTCTTTATTACTGTAGGGTTAAGGTTGGAAATTTGACAAGGATTTTAGGCCACTGGAAGCCATATTCTCCTCGGAACAAAACCAAACAAGCCAAAAACTTTTGTACTATGGTAAGGGAAGCCGCTGAGTTTGAATATGACATTTTCACTTTACTATGATGCTTCTTTCCGAGTTACCACAGCTAAACCGTAGTAATGAACTTCCAGCATCTGTCAGAAATGTGACCACACCATCAATAAAGCTAAAAACACTCGTAAAAAGTTGCGTGATGGAATCAGCGTGCGTGAAAACCCTAGTACACGATTTTTCAAATTTTTTGAAAGAAATTTTGTCAAATAGCATATTTCACCATAGATCCACATGCTAGATGTTCATACCGTAATCCTACAGTAAAGATCAGCGAACGGTAATTCGCTCCATACTACAAATCTAAGTTTACCTCGCTTTACAGAATGATGCCTCAAACTCGGCGAAAGACAGGAAAGCAACGGAGTTATCAACGATCAAACAGTGTTCACATTTTTTGGACACCCTGTATAACCAATCGTGCTGAGAACCGAGGTCTGCGTCTCTTCATTCTCCTCAGTGTTTGCTTGGTAAAATGCCACCGCTATGCGCTCGCGAAACCTCTAGCGGTGCGCACGCGCCGCTTCTCATGGATTGTTCCGCCTAATCCGGGATGAAATCGACTGTATAACGGATAATCATTCTTTAACTTTTCGATTAATGCACGTTTGTTTGAGACTGGAGCCCCTACAATGTCTTCTGAGGATTTTGAATCGCGAATCATGGATCCGGAATACTTGGATTTGAAAGAGGGAAAATTGCCGAGAACGGCGCTGATTGAGCTTGCGGCAGGGCAAAATAAAACTATCCCACCCAGGTGACTTCATAATAGGCTTGATTGGCTGTTTTTCTATCTTATATATAAAGCTGAATGTCTGTTTGTCTGTCTGTCTGTCTGTCTGTCTGTATGTACGTATGTTCCGAATAGAAAATTCCATTTCTGAACCGATCGGGACCAAACTTGGCACACATACACTTCGTGCCCCGGCGGGTGTCATAGGCTACTTTTCGTTATCGATCGATTTCGATTTTATCGATTTTTCGCAAAATTTGAGCTACAGGGTTGGAGTTGGCACAGGGGGGTAATCGAGCATGCTGATCACCCCCGTGGGGGTGATCAGCATGCTCGATTACACCCCCTGCCAAATTCCAGCTCCCTAGCTCAAATTTTGCAAAAAAATCGATAAAATCGATAAAAGTAATGCACGGTTTCGAAAACTAATATTGTATTCGTAATCAGCATGCTCGATTACCCCCCTGTGCCAACTCCCAGCCCCGTAGCTCAAATTTTGCAAAAAATCGATAAAATCGATATCGATCGATACGAAAAGTAGCCTATGACACCCGCCGGGGCCCGAAGTGTATGTGTGTCAAGTTTGGTTCGTATCGGTTAAGAAATGGAATTTTCTATTCGGAACATACGGCGGAGCCGGGTATGCCAGCTAGTTGAGTATGAATGAAAACTGATTCAGCTTTGATGCGCGTGAGAAGTGGCCTGAGTGTAAGTCCATAAGGCTCGTTCGCAACCAGGCCAATTGTGGTGAGGTGGTTTAGAAGCAGGACACCTACTGCCACGGGTAACACTCGCACTTTAGGATCATGCTGGGCAGTCTCAGTAGCCTCGGTCATGTCAGATAGACTGTGTATTGCTTCCAATCAAAGTACTCAAGTGAGTGCTTCGTTATAGCAAAAGTGATTTTGTATGGACAATTATTACAGACCTTACTATCTGCTACTGACATCCTATCTTGTTGTGATGAATGCACTCCACAGCCGTGAGTTTATATAAATTTGTTAATTGAGGGAAAATTTGGAACAAACTTGATGTATTGTCTTCGCCCCATCTTGCTGAATACACTGTATAGTACAGAACATATCCATGTTCTAGCTGTGCTGGATCAAACCCGCTCTATGCGTGGGCATACTTACAGTCACATGGAGTTTGTTCTGGAGGACCGTATAACAGAAAGGTGACAGAATTAAACTTGCCAAGGCTCACTCTAGAGCACTTGTGTTCCAGAGTGTATGCAAACCGTATGTATTCCGCCCATGTAGTTACAGCAAGAAAGAGAAAATGCATTATGGACCATGCAATTACAATAGAACTTCGCCAAAACCAATGTGCCTAAAAAAATGCTTGCAAGATTATAAGAAGTCTTACACTGAAGATAAAGTATACGGTACGTGGACTTCTGCACTTCGACTGTTAATGTCTTAATTGCTCTTATACTAGGCAATTATTATAAAGTTTCGGATGATGAAAGAGAAATCCAGAAGGAAATAATGACGTATGGACCTGTTCAAGCTAGTATGGCAGTGTACGACGATTTTCACAAGTATAAGAACGGAATATATTATGTATGCTTTTTCAACATAAATCAACGGCAAATGCAAAAAAAATTCTTCTCGGGCGAAGGGGGCTGCTCCCTGTGTTCAAGGGAGGTTGGTCACTCCCTTGAACATATTTTGGACGCTTTCCGGTTTATTCGAGGATGGTTCACTTTTTTTAGCACAAACGTGTATCTGGCGAAAAGTTAAAGGGCGTTCATGCCGTCAAGATCATTGGCTGGGGAGTAGAAGAAGTCGAAGGTGTCAATAATAAAAAATTCAATATGAAGTACTGGCTAATTTCCAATTCGTGGGGCGCTGATTGGGGAGAAGACGGTAAGCGTTGAGCTTGTATATATAATCTTATGATTCGTCAAATTTTTCATCGAAAAACATGCTGTGTCTTTTCAGGACTCTTCCGCATTGTTCGCGGTGCAAAGAAATTTAATTGTCAAATTGAATGGATGGTCAATGCCGGTCATCCGAAAACCCAGTGAATTCTTTGCTTAACGCACTTTTGAATAAATTCTCCTCTATGCAAACTAATGGAAAAATAAGAAAAAAACCACTTTTATCTCTCTATCTATCACGATTTATGGGAAGTTGTAAAGGAGAGTAATTGAACATAGTGCTTATTTACCATAAATGCTGCAGTAGGAGGAGATGAAGGATCAGGGTCAAGCAAGAGGTGTGGCATACAATGTCCACATACGACCCCCCCCCCTTTGAGAGTGCTGCGATACGACCCCCCCCCCCTACCTTCCCTCCCGCCCTTTAAACTTGATCCTTGGGTGGTTTTTATTAGGCCGGCCACACTATTCCAGGAGGTGATTCCTGCGATTTCTGTAATTCCTGCATTTCTGATTCCTCAACTTCCGATGTGCCGCATTACGGACCGCTTTGCAAATTTCAGTATGCAAATTTCAGTATACATTGTTTCTTCGCAATATACAATGCTACGGGACCCGCAAGAATCACAAGAATCGCAGGAATCACAGGAATATCAAGGCGGGTCCCTAAGAAAATACACCGCAGGATGAAGGAACGGACAAAATGAACGTGCACAACGAGTGGGAACAAAATGGTCATATATCTCAAAAGAAAACAGGTAGTACTTCAACATAAGATATTCAGAAGATAACAGAGCTGAAAGTCACTGACAAGTAGTACTTAAAGAAAAGACAACGTCTACCCGAAGAGATGTTAAGTACAGCACTGGCAGTGCCGCTTTTCAAAACTGCGTTTTAAACGCAATAAAGCGCCGGAAGTGCCGCATTGCTGTAACTTTTCTCAGGTTACTCCTATCGAGCTCTGGTTTGAATATTTGAAACCAGCGCTGTTTGATGCATCCGATAGTATATTTGAAAATTCAAAAATTCACAATTTTTTTTCTGCCCTACGGCGCAATAAACGCGATATTGCGTCGTAAGTGCCGCATTCGAATAACTTTCCACAAAATTACTCTTTTTGATTCTCGCTGTTATATTTGGTCTCAGCACTGATTGCTCTATCCGACAATATATTCAAAATCTGAAAAAGTCAATTTTTTCATGTGCCGCAGAACGCAACAAACGCGTTTTTGCGTCGAAAGTGCCGCATTGGTATAACTTCATTAATTATTGTCACAGAAAAATTTAGTAAACACTGTTGTCATCAGTGTCTCTTGAGCTATCCGATAATGTGTTCAAAAGTCTAAAAACCTCAATTCTGAGTGAATTACGCGTTCTAAATCTTATGGGCCCTCTTTTTTGCACTGATAAGCTGATAACGTTCTTCAAACTTGCTACAGAAAATTTTGAGCTACATATTTGGAACCAGTGCTTTCCAAGCTATCCAGAGATATGTTTAAAAACCTAAAAATCGCGAATTTTTTGTTCCTTATTTTATTGGTCCCTCATATTAGTATAATTAGCTAGGCTGGCTCCGGCCCTTGGCTGCCGTGACCTATCAGTATCGATTTTTGTAATCAGGATCGGTCTAGTATTACAATATATAAAAGGAATGTCAAGTGAAGTAATACTACACTTGGCTTTCACATTCCAAAATGCGGTACATGGGGAACTTGGGATTTGAAATCATAAACTTCAAATTTTGAAATTCCTTAAAATTTAGAAATCACCACTCATTGACTTAGAAATTCCAGCGCACGTTAAGCAGAATTAAAGTCTGCTTATTTTCCGGTTTTACTGCCACTGTAGCTCTGAGTTTTGCAAATTTGAAATTTCGAAATCTTCTTATAAATTTTGTCATCAGACTGGGGAATTCCGAAACACAGTGACAAGCAGGCATTGATGTTCGAGTGATCCACAACTTGTGTTTTTGAGACAAATATAGCCAGTCTGGCCCTGCTTTTTCTAATTTGAGATTTTTGAACTCAAATTTCAAAAAACAAAGGGGTAAGTTCGTTTCAAGTCTGAAGATGGTTTTCGGATTCAGAAATTCCAAGACACCTGAAACAGATTGAAGTCGGTTTATGTTGCGTTTTTGTTTTCAAAGAGGTACTGCCATTGTCTGAGTTTGGAATTTTGCTTTGATAACACATGCATTCTGAATTTTTAAATTTCAGTTTTATTTGTTTCAGTTTTCGTGATTTTGAAAATCAGAATGCATTAGAGGTTCAAAGAAAAGCGGATGTAAGCAGTGACTGAAAAACTATCATAAATTTCTGGGTCTACATCATCCATGCTTCACACGGATTTTTCTCAAAATCATTTTAGCGTAGCTGTCTTTCCAATTTCAGGTTCGGAACTCTAACTTTCTATCGCTTTCCCTGATTTCCAACCACAGGGTAAAAGTTCACACGAATTAGTCATTAGCATCAATTAGATTCAATATTATCAAGAACGCCGAGCTTGGATGCACTTGCACCTATCTATGGCAACGCATTTTGCATCTCGCAGTGACCTTTGCAGTATTGTGAATGCGTTTTGTAGCCGATTGATTCGAAAGATGCAGCTCTTTACTAATGATTGAGAAAGAGAACAAAAAAAATGTTTTTTTTTTGCTGAGTCGTATCAGAGATGACTGGATGATTCAGGTCCTGTATGTAGGGACAATCTGAGGCAGCTCTTGAGGTGTGAACGTGCCTGTGGATATTCAACGAGTGCACAAAACAAAATGGGCCTTCTTCTTACATTCTGCAAAGATTACATTATCACTCATAGTTTGGCATTTGTTACTCATGAGGACGACTCAGCTATTACAAAATTATGATCACTGTAACTTGCTTAGAGAAGCCTGACCAAAGACGTTATTAGTTGTTACCATAAGTTGATGAATCCTTGCGAATAGCTCAATTTCAATCAGAAATTCTTCAACTTCAATCAGAGATTCAAAGACTTGAAACAAACTTACCCCTTTGTTTTCTGAAATTTGAGTTCAAAAATCTCAAATTAGAAAAAGCAGGGCCAGACTGGCTATATTTGTCTCAAAAACACAAGTTGTGGATCACTCGAACATCAATGCCTGCTTGTCACTGTGTTTCGGAATTCCCCAGTCTGATGACAAAATTTATAAGAAGATTGCGAAATTTCAAAATTGCAAAACTCAGAGCTACAGTGGCAGTAAAACCGGAAAATAAGCAGACTTCAATTCTGCTCAACGTGCGCTGGAATTTCTGAGTCAATGAGTGGTGATTTCTAAATTTTAAGGAATTTCAAAATTTGAAGTTTATGATTTCAAATCCCAAGTTCCCCATGTACCGCATTCTGGAATGTGAAAGCCAAGTGTAGTATTACTTCACTTAACATTCCTTTTATATATTGTAATACTAGACCGATCCTGATTACAAAAATCGATACTGATAGGTCACGGCAGCCAAGGGCCGGAGCCAGCCTAGCTAATTATACTAATATGAGGGACCAATAAAATAAGGAACAAAAAATTCGCGATTTTTAGGTTTTTAAACATATCTCTGGATAGCTTGGAAAGCACTGGTTCCAAATATGTAGCTCAAAATTTTCTGTAGCAAGTTTGAAGAACGTTATCAGCTTATCAGTGCAAAAAAGAGGGCCCATAAGATTTAGAACGCGTAATTCACTCAGAATTGAGGTTTTTAGACTTTTGAACACATTATCGGATAGCTCAAGAGACACTGATGACAACAGTGTTTACTAAATTTTTCTGCGACAATAATTAATGAAGTTATACCAATGCGGCACTTTCGACGCAAAAACGCGTTTGTTGCGTTCTGCGGCACATGAAAAAATTGACTTTTTCAGATTTTGAATATATTGTCGGATAGAGCAATCAGTGCTGAGACCAAATATAACAACGAGAATCAAAAAGAGTAATTTTGTGGAAAGTTATTCGAATGCGGCACTTACGACGCAATATCGCGTTTATTGCGCCGTAGGGCAGAAAAAAATTGTGAATTTTTGAATTTTCAAATATACTATCGGATGCATCAAACAGCGCTGGTTTCAAATATTCAAACCAGAGCTCGATAGGAGTAACCTGAGAAAAGTTACAGCAATGCGGCACTTCCGGCGCTTTATTGCGTTTAAAACGCAGTTTTGAAAAGCGGCACTGCCAGTGCTGTAAACTCAGTAAGGTGCACAAAAGCAATCAAGATCAAAAATATCGAGGTAACATACAAGTTACGCATTTGCTGGGGGGTGATTGTTCGAAGTATGATGCGAGTGATGCTGCTTCAACATCTCCTTTATCCACGGATGAGGCTGAACTTGCATTCAGGAGTATCTGCAACAGAAGTAACATAGAATCGAGCGAAATACGATGTATAACTGAGCATTTGAATGTTCCAAATCGGGCAATTTCGCGCTCTTTCCTTGCAGTAGGCGTAGCTCATATTCAGTGCGCTACCGAGGTCATTATTTTTGAGGCGTTTTCTCGATTTCTAAGATAAGGGTGGGTAGGAAAAAAGCGCCATATCTTCTTTTAGAGAGAACGCTTTCAGATGAAATTCTCAACGGCAAGAGAAGAAGGACTAGCAATTTCAAAGATATAGAAGTCATTGATGTTTGAGGTCTTTGAAGGTAAGTTAATGGGGTGTGGCACAACCCCTAAAAAGCTGTGGCAGCCACAGCTTTTGAGGGATTGTGCCACACCCCATTAACTTATCTCCAAAGAAACTTCTACTGAACTATAACATAGTTCTATAGCCTAGGCCTCGCTGTATTTATAGGATTGTTTTGAGCACCGTTCGTTTTCTTGACTCTGTCAACAGTTGCTGCAGTTGAAACCACTGAAAGTAAAAGATGGGTTTTGGCTGGCTCCTTAATCCATAGTTTGGCGAATATTTGAGACTAGCTGGCTTGCCCGGCTCCGCCGGGCCTGCCAGCTAGACCCGTGTACGTATGTTCCGAATAGAATTGGGACCGAACTTTGCACACATACACTTCGGGGCACGGAGCTTGTCACAGTCCACTTTTCGTTATCGATCGATGTCGATTTTAACGATTTTTTGCAAAATTTGAGCTAGGGGGCTAGGATTTTGCACAGGGGGGTAATCGAGCATGCTGATCACCCCCTTCGGGGTGATCAGCATGCTCGATTACCCCCCTCTGCCAAATCCCAGCCCTCTAGCTCGAATTTTGC